AGACCAATGTTCTTAGGCACAGAAAGCTCACACTTCTCTGAAAGTGAACATTTGTTAGTACAAGCTCTGACCATAAAAAGTTGTGTCTCCAGGACTGCTTGGGTTGGTTACTGCTGTAATCAAAATCTGGTGAGATGGAGTCATCAGGTACAAAGAAAGATAAGATCTGCAGATGCTTAAAGGTGAAATTAGAAGATAATAACACCTCTTAATCTGGGGAGATGGAGTCATCAGGTACAGAGAAAGATATGATGTGCAGATGCTTGAAGGTGAAATTAGAAGGTAATAACACTTCCCTAAGGTGTTCATGTCCCTCTGATTCCTTGTCAACTGCTGTTGTAATGTGGTGTTGGATATGGAGAAGGAGAGGGTTTGTAGTGCAGCACAGAGAATCTCTTGGCTATGTGAAAATGAATGCTTTCCCCTCCCTTTCCCTCTTTTTGCCTTTAGTAGCATAAAATAGCCTGTACTGAACCTGTGTATGGCTGTTTTTGAAGCTGGTTTTGGTCAGATCCCTTCTGAGAGTGATGAGCACAGTAACTGCACCTGGCAGAGCACACAGCAGTGCCCAGGCTCGAAACCTGCAGCACTGGAGCTCCACACTAAGCACTACTGACACAGTTGTTGTCTGGATGTAATTGTGCTGTTCACCCTAACGTGGGAATTCTCCCTGTTTGTGTGTGTGTGTAGGAGATAAGGGAAACCAGGAAGAGACACGAGCACCGACTGGTCGAGGTGGACACGAGCCGCCAGCAGGAGTACGAGTCCAAAATGAGTCAGGCTCTGGAGGATCTGAGAATCCAGCATGATGAGCAAGTCAAGCTGTACAAGATAGAGTTGGAGCAGACCTACCAGGCTAAGGTAAGGGCACTGGCACTGCTGTTGGTCAGTGCAGAAGACACAGTGGGAGTAGTGGATGTCACACAGCAGCTGATTAGGCAGTGTGTTCTGCTGGAAAGGTTCTTTTCTTCTGGCAGTGGAGTAAGAGAGCAGAGTGATAACGACAGTGAAAAGTATGAAGCAGATCCTGTATGAGGAAAGGTTTAAATAAAACTTCACCTGGAAAAGAGATGTTGAGAGAAGGGGAAGACACAGGGGATGTCTGTGAAGGGATGTGATTGTTGATTATTTTGTCAGGGATAATGATGTCCAGTGCCTGATCCAGGAGAAACAAAGAAGATTGTTCTTCCTCAATACAGAGCTAAACACCTTAGCCCATAAATTCAAACAGCAGAGGCAAACTCCTGCCTGAAAAATCCCCTGGGAGACAGTAAGCAGCAAAATATTGTCTCTGGCTTAGAGTTGCACGTGGCCAGTGGGGACATAACACCCATGGAATATTTCCTGGAGTCCCTGTGCATCTAGGGAGCTGTTGGACCAGGATGTGACCCTGTGTGGTTGGTCTTAGCACAGACAGGCAGAGCATATGGCCACATGAACTTCAGGTGTTTGAATAATAGAAGGACTAAGAGACCATTGCTTTTAACAGCATAAGCAAACCCTGCAGGAACAGGACTTTTCCTGGTCCTTGGGGCATTTCCTTAGTGTTACGCAGTTCTTACCCTAAGCTTAAAAAAAAAAAAGTTGCTACTTTCTGCAGGATATCTATCCAAGTCCATGCAAGTGACCAGTCCCAACCTTGCCTTCCAGCTGGAGAATGCCAAACTGTCCTCTGACCAAAACGACAAAGCTGCTGGTGCAGCTCGGGAGGAGCTGAAGGAGGCTCGGATGAGGATAGAGGCTCTGGGCTACCAGCTCTCTGCCCTTCAGAAACAGGTAAAGGGGCTAAACTTGCTTTCATTTCAAACACAGAGCACGAAGTAACACTTGTGGCCCTGGAGGTCACCCGGAGAAGTGTTGGCTGTGCTCACTGTGGAGGTGTCACTGTGTGTGCCCAGGCCAGCACGGCGGAGGATCGCATTCGGGAGCTGGAGGAGATGATGGCTGGGGAGAGGGAGAAGTTCAGGAAGATGCTGGATGCGAAGGAGAGGGAGATGACAGACATGAGGGACCAGATGCAGCTGCAGCTCACAGAGTACCAGGAGCTGCTCGATGTGAAATTAGCCCTGGACATGGAGATCAGCGCTTACCGCAAGCTCCTGGAGGGAGAAGAGGAGAGGTATGTCCTGGTTCCACTTCCTTTGCTTTGTCCAGGTTCCACTTTCCTTCCTAAGGACTGGCAGGTGCTGTTTTCATTTTTGGAAATGAAAAGTGTGTTTT